ATTTGCATATGGGGCCAGACCAGTTCCGTTGAAGTCTGCATAAATCTCTATTGCGATTGTGGAAACAGATACCTACTTTATGTCATTATTGCTGAAATCAAACAGCACTAATGTGGTACCTACGTAACGCGGATCATAATCAGCGAGAACCTGAGATTCAAACCAAAGACCAGCTGATGTAAGGGACGCAACTCTGAACAGCGAAAACAGTGCCTTGTTGACCACCTGTCAACCTACCACTGTGTGGTTTAGTTGGTGGCCATATACGTTGACCTAGTCAAATAATATAGGAATCATTAATAATATAGGTTAAGCCCTTATAACAATCTCAATAAAATCAGATCTTAGTTCTCGCTACCGCTAAACAAGGATCTGATAACACCCCATTACGGGTCATGTCAGACCGACCTTGCGCGAACTGTGACCGACCAATGGAATGACTGACAAGAAGTCGACATAAGCCAATCAGAAGGCAGCTTTCTCGTGCACTAATTTCATATTGGCAACTACGCTTCGAAACATATTTTAACAAATTCTCGATTAAAAATTTGAAACCCTAACAAAAGAAAATTCTGGAATGCCTAATAGATTGTATGGATTCATTTATTAAGTCTGTAACTATCGTTCGTATCGTTAGAAATCACATTCCGACTGTCACTTTCATGATCTGGTAAGCGACGCTCTGATTGGTCGAATGCAATGGGATGTCTTCAGATCTTTGTTTAGCGGTAGCGAGAACTAAGATCTGATTTTAATGAGATTTGCCCTTATACTCAATTTATTCAAATGACCACGCGATGACTGTTATTTTTATTCGAAGAAATAATCAGTTTACGCTCAAAAAGTAGTTTAAAGGTTGTACAACAAGCGGTTGATTCGTGCGCAATCACGTTTCCTAATGCGATCAATGAATAAATCAACCCGTGTGTCAGTCCACGACAATCATTACAGCGCAAAGAAGACGGTTTGTGACTCTGCTTCCCGTAATACAGGGGGGCTTCTTTCCGTGCGTTTATTGGTAATTAAATTGAGTCATCGAATACAACTTTCTAATCAAAACGTTTCATTTTTTTACATAAATAGATTACATGTAATGGTTTGATACATGCTGTTTACTGGTATTAGTTGCCAGTCTAATGTTCGTGTCTCGGACATAAATAATGTATTACTGAGAGTCCCTGGGGTGAACATCGCACTGCAGATAAAAAGAAAGTATACATTGTTAGATTGTGAATAGGTTTTTAATACCGTGGCACAAGAAACTATTTCAGGTTGACAAATGTTTTTATCGTGAAAGAAAAAGCAAGCGTTGGATCCCAAAACATCACAGCTCATTAAAATATGCAAGAAGGACAGAGGGATCTTGGAATGGCGCTGATCGGGACTACACAGGTCCATTTTGCAAGAACGATTGGCTGCAGCCGACTGACCATTGCCAGGCTACCTCAGCGACACCGCCAGACTGGTCCCACGAGAGGACCGCCATCTGCGCATGTTACATCTGCGCAACCGCTTCCTGGCGGGACAAGGACATCGCATCAGCAGACTCAGTTTCAAGGCGATTACCTACTGTGGGAATTTGGGCCTGCGGACCCTCCCCGGAATGGCCTTGATCCCTCAACATCGGCGAAATAGAACGTTCGTCAATAGACTCGAAATGTGCCTTTTTGAAGCGATCAGGAAGTTTTGTTATAAAGACTTTGGGAAAAGTGAGTTATGACTTATGTGTTTAATCGTTAATTCATCACAAATGCCATAAAATTGTCTTTTAACGAGTACCATAAATGATTGAACTTCAAAATACATTTCAAATGAAATGTGCACATTTTCTCGGGTTGTTAATTTCATAAGCGGTGACTGTCAAAGTCTATGCATACTTTCTTCTGATGAGTGGTTTCGACACACTCAGGTAAATTCCTGCCAGTATCCATGCTAGACTATTAATTTGAATGTTTTGAAATTGATTTAGAGGAATGAAAAAATACATTTTTGAAAATATCCTTTTCCAGTACGAAATGTATGATTTGTGTGATATACGTCGTATCTTTGATATGGAACTGTTATAATTATAAGAAATTATGACAATAGATTTTTGTGTAATAACCTTTCATTTCTGGCGTAATGGCACCGCTATTTCCTAAATTCGCTTTTTCAGTAAAGAAACTAATCTTCTCAATAAGATGATCATTAAGCATTGCTGATAAAATAAATAATATCAAAGCGATGTTGACCCCTTGCAATGCGGTCAAAGGGAGACAACTCATAATATTTTGGTTCACTTGTGAGTGGTGGGGGGCTCTCCTCACTTAACCAACTTGTCACCATTGTGAATATGCAGCTCTACATATACTACGATGTTGAAACAGCTGTTATGCTGATTGAACATCACCGCAATCTACTTCCTACACCATAACGGAGTCTTAAACTTTTATTGACTTGTGTTGAAATATTTTATATCAAATTTACAAACACGAGGGTGAATTTTTGTATGTCATCCAAAATCCTTCTTCCAACTTCTTCAGTTCAGCACAAGTAACTTATCAATGAATTACAATCATTAAACTAATAATGAGAAACAAAAGAGACGTAAAATCGGGGGGGGGGGGGGGGGGGGGGTAGTAGTCAGCAATTGTGTCCAAAGACTCACCCCACCCCCTGTAATAATAAATGGCCAGTCCTCAACTATGCATCCTCAACGCATTCTATTCTATTTTAGTGCAGCAAAAAGAGCAGCATCTTCAGTTGTTAAAGACATATCTGGCCAAGGCATGGTTTTCATATATTAGCTCCGCTAATTATCGTTTTATTAATACGTTCATTATTTTCAAAGTGACAGTACTTGATTTGCAGTAGGTATCAATTTTATGCTCGCGCACTAAAGTATGCCAGTATTCTAAAGGAAAAGGTTTCCCTCGGCATTGTGCGTGGGATTTTGTCCGGTATTTCCAAACCGCTTTTATCCAGATACAATTTGCTTTTTCCGGAATGTTTCCAGAATCCCCATGCCAATTTCCTAAACATTTTGGAAATGTTATAAAGTTTATGCTACTCTGAAAAAAACATAGAAAGCTATAGTAGCGGACACACTTTTTATAAATGCAAATCTGATCTGTATGTTCAATGGCCATTTCACGAGGCTCAGTTTATTAAGGCTTGATTCAATATGGTCAAAGGGAGACAACTCCAGTTTTCCAGTTGATGACGGGAAGTTCCGGTAAAATTCCTTTACACAGCAGTTGTCATTGTTTTGGTTTACTGACACACTCCATAATATTCAAGCTGCCTGTAAAAGGAATCGAGTCTGTACCAGACAATCCAGTGATTGATATTATGAGCACAGACCTGCGACGCCCCTTTTTATTATATTTATAACTGTAAATTAACTGGTTCATTTCGGAAACCACAGATGTTAAGCTAGGGGAGCTATTCTAATACGGAATTGCAAATTTTGAACAGCTGGGGATATATAGATACGTGTAGATGGACACAGAAGTTAGTATGACATGGGATGAAGTATGAGAGGTGACAGGAGAGTGTGGGCAGGTTGAGGAAGTCGCAGCTGAGCTGCACACGTTGTGGCCTTGTAGGATTCAGGGATCATAGAAAAACATTCTTATAAATATATCTACAGATACGAAGTTGTAGAAATATCGCCAATGTTTAGTGTTGATATTTTTAAATTTAATCACAATAATAATATTTTAGTAGACTCTTTGTTTTGAAAAAGATTATTCATTTCTTTCTTTTTCGGCTTATCTTTAAGACATACATCAAGCTCCGACGTTCATACAGTTTGGCCTTCACTCTATGAAGGTTCATACTCGAATGAACTCACACAAAGTGAAGGTCACATCTTAATTAAAGCAAATTAACTATACCAATATTGTATACTCATATGGTGAAATCAATGACAACAAAATATTTAAAGAACAAAGGAAAGTATTTGTATTTGTAGAGAGTGTTTCACATTTACTTGTCTCTAACCAGAGACCATATAATAATTATATGGTCTCTGCTCTAACCAACCAAAACATTTAGCCATGTACAGGCATATTTCAATAAATACAAACTTTGTTCACCATATGAGTAAACAATGTTAGTATTCTTAATTGGTCTTCATGAAGTATGTCTTAAAGATATGCCAAAAAAAGTCAGAAATGCACATTTTCTTATATTTTTTTCACACTTAAGATTACCTAAACATACATAAAAAGTCTACTGTGAAAAATGTATTTACTTTACAGATCTAGTGTTGGGTAAATATAAAACCACAGCTAAAGTCATAATGGCAGTTCATTGCAAGTTTGTGTAAGGAGACGATGTAGGCTTTATTCTGTGTCAGGGATGGATTCAGAGTATATGAACCTTTAACTCTGTTCAAGTAGTTCACACAGCAAGAAGAGTGATTTCCTTTCACTGACTGTGTCTGTTCTGTGGGTTGAGCAAGCTGTGTATACCAGTCGGCGTGTCCACCGAAAGCGCTCCAGCCGAGGAAGGGGGCTGTGCTGATCGAGGCTCTTTGAGGTGGATAACCATGTGGCTCAAAGATCAGTGAAGAGCAGCTTCCCAGAATAACTATTTTTGTTAACAATAAACATAAAGTAAAAACTACGGATTTGTGTTATCTATGCATCTCTATTTAGGGCCATTTTCGTCTTCGTCCCGAATTCTTTGTATGTTTATGGGATCAGCGGTGACGAATTCGTAGAGGGTCGGACGCCACTCCACAAAAATTATTGTGAGAGGCTCGGTGCTATTTTTTCACGCTGACAAAAGAGCACTGTATTGAGTAAATTGTAAAACGTGGACTGCCAAAAAACAAGCTGCGTCCCTGGGTGGGCTCGAACCACCAACCTTTCGGTTAACAGCCGAACGCGCTAACCGATTGCGCCACAGAGACCTTGCTGTTGTTGCGATGAAATCCACGACTTATAAATGACTAAAAATAGCACCATGAGGGGAGATAAGTATGTTTTCCGGAAATGCATATTATCAATAAACAAGATGGCGGAGCATGATAAATCCCCGCTTCTAAAATTTGACCAGTTAGACGATTATGAAACCCAGAGGCAACAAATTCGTCATTTATATGAAAACAATGAGAGATCAAGCGGGGGTGACGGTTCCAACGACGTGATCACTATCAGCGGCAGCACCTCGGCCTCAGTTCTTGCTGAACCTGATAATGTTGTGGCGATTTTTGTTGTCGCATTTGACACAAGAACAGGTGGGCAGCATTGAAATAATTTATTTATCATGTACATCAAGGCTGAAGGAAAATTCAACGTCACAGACCCATAAGAATAGATGAGATGTCAGTTTAGGTGTAATGGACCTTATAATATATGTACGGGGTATGTACTCATGATGATTCAACATGTACTCACCCAGTTAGCCTGCCTGTCTGCCCCAAAATATTCTTGACGTCGGTGAACAATGGTGAATGCGTTGTGTCGCTGCAGAAGTGTAGGCGTTTACCACTTTTACATGTAACAAACTACATATAAAGATTGCATGTATGTTGATAAGGCAGTGATTGAATTGTCATGATTTTGTAATACTACTGTCCAGTTATCAATCCTGTCTAGAGTTGAATATATTTGGACCTTCCAGTGTCCAGTGTCACTGAAGCGAAAAACACTTGGCATTACACATACTGGTATATGTATAATAGAAGTAAAGGACAATTATCGGGGATTAATAAGTAAAATGACACCCATACCCGAATGAAGAAAGAATTTGTCTCACCCAATCATGCCCAATGTAAGGTGCTTCTTGTATGTTGAGGCAAGCTTTTGCCTACCTTTAGAATACAGTACCGCAAATTTTTCACACAGGTCACAATACCCTATGACGTAATTTGAAGTATTTTGTATATTGAAGTATATTGAAACAATGCCCCGTGACGTCTTGGTCTCAGTGATCTATCATCTCCACATGCAATGTCGTTGAATAAGCCCAGCGATGTTGAGAGTTTTGAATATTTGTTTACTAAATATAGACTACAGGAGCACATTTTATGGAAAGCTCTAGTTTATGAAAGCACCTTTTTTTTTCAATATATATATATATTTTTTTTTTCTTAATACAAATGGCTAAAATAATACAGCCATATACATTCAAACTAATATACATGGTTTATTTTTTTCATTCATTAATTTTCATTATCATGTACAGGAATACAGTTTACTAGGTATTTATATTGGCGCTGAACACATCCAAATGTCACCCGTGTTAGACACAAAGACGTCGAGAAAGCAGGATGAAATGGTTTAGTGTCGAATATTTTGTCTACTGGAAACTGTCCTGGAACATTCATAGAAACCATTTTCACCCGCAACGTTATATTCAGTAATGATTCAAGAGTGGACTCATCCTTGTGGCGTCACTACCCATGCTCATTCCTCTTTTTTTCCTTACTGTGATCCACATTATCCTTACAGTGTTCACTACCACTAGGGCTGCAACGATACAGGAAGGTCACGATACGATACGCATCTGGATATTCTGGTCACGATGCGATACGTATCTCGATACGCAATGATAAAAAAAAAACAAGACTTAAAGCATGTCAAGATTGAACCTTTCATGATATAGGAACAGTCAAAATTATTTTATAATAACAAGACTACTGAACTTCTTTGAGTGGCATTTAGAAGTTGGAGTGATGAAGTAAGACGAGTTCTATGGATGAACAACTTCTTTATTACAATTAGTGCGACGTTTCGGTGTAGATCCTAACACCTTTATCAAGCAAGTGATGGATAGGGCTAAACAACATAGGTATATATACACTTATTGACATCTAAGTTGTTACAGTGACTAGTTGATGGACACAGAGAGGTGATTAAGCTAATTGGAAGCCAGTGGATTACTAATGAACACAGAGTAACTAGCAGAGTAAACAAGCAGACTGATGGAGATGATGGAAGCCACTGTATTAATCGGATGGACAAAGGGATTTAGCAATTAGGTGATGGTAAGCAGAAGGGATGTAATAGCCTTGGTCTCTGTTCATTGCTGGCTGGATGTCAACTTAGATGTCAATAAGTGTATATATACCTATGTTGTTTAGCCCTATCCACCACACAATCCTTCCGACTCCCTAACAACCAATCAATATTCACGGCAGAACTAATGGGCATGGCCTCAGCCCTCCATAATCAAGAATCCAAAAACCACAAAAAAATCCTAATACTTACCGACTCCCTAAGTGGACTGCAAGCCCTCCAAAACAAAAATACCAAAAACCGACCTAAATTAATAAATCGAATACTTAAAAGCTCCAACGACCTAACTAAGGCAGGCAAACAAATAACCTTCTTGTGGATACCCGCCCACGTAGGAATATACGGTAATGAAAACGCCGATAAAGCAGCTAAACTATCCCTCAAAATCCCAGAAATAAGCTTAAACTTACCCATCTCAAAATCAGAAATTAAAAGTGTAAACAAGCAAAAAATCACCAAAAAATGGCATAACCTATATCTAAACTCAAATAGCCAAATCAAAAAAGTGCTCAGCAAACCACTAACCAAACCAAAAATTCTCCATCCATCCAAAAAAATCGACAGAGTAATCACTAAACTCCAAACAGGACACACCAACCTAAATAACCACCTAAAAAAATTTAAAAAACACACTACAGGTAACTGCCCACACTGCAAACAACCAGAAACCCCAGAACACGCACTCATCCACTGCACACACTACCTAACACATCGAACCGCATTACAAACCACCCTCAATCTAAACAAGGCTCTAACTCTAGAAGCAATACTAAACCCACAAAATAAACTAGAAAACTTCAAGGCCTTAGGCGTATTCTTAATCAAAACGGAACTAATAAAACGCATCTAAAAACACAATAACTCACCAAATCAAAATCACATAAACAAACAAACATCCACCATACCCAGCTCCCTTAGTTCTCCTCCCCAATCCCATCGGCATCTATTCCAAATCTCAAAATTCCCAAATTCTATATAAGCAACCCCTAAAACCCCCCTCTTGGGTTGCACAGACCACCTTCGCCCCTTTCGGAAACACATTAAATGGCCTGGCCGGGCCCGTGTGCGAAATACGCATCAGTCGGAAAGCGCACGTTAAATCTCCAAAGTAAGTAAGTAAGTAAGTAAGCCCTATCCATCACTTACTTGATAAAGGTATTAGGATCTACACCGAAACATCGCACTAATTGTAATAAAGAAGTTGTTCATCCATAGAACTCGTCTTACTTCAAGACTACTGAAGTTGTTCAGCTTCAAAGTGAAACTTTCTCTAACTTTCCTTCAAAACAATTCAAAGTTCAAACACCAGAATATAATTAATGCGCTCCACCAGTGATACAACTTCAAAGAATTTTGATGCAAGAAATTGTATCTGAAATTATTGTTTTATCAGGAATAATATATTGCAATATTGTGTTTCCTAAGTTGCAGCTTTTACTATATATATATTTAAAATTATAAGAACCACAAGTGTAGCATTTTGGTACTGGTGATTGCTGTTGCAGGATATTTTTATGTATGGAACAATTTGACCAGTCACCGTAGGGACTTCCCGCGCTACATGTATTTCGATTGCGAAAACGTTATGTTGACATATATTAGCCTAATTGCCACAAATATGACTTTCAACGAGTCAAAGTATGGCATTTTTAATATTATATGTATCCATTCTCTAGCAACTAAAGTTCGTTTCAATGCGTCAAAAGCGGTAATCTGACCGTGGTTGCTGTATCTCTTCACACACGATTTCACATAACTTAATGAAAACAATATGAAATGAAATTTTGAATAAAATTAATAAAATATATTACAAACACAAGACCAGATATACAATGAACACGTTTTATTAACAAGATAGTATAATAATGGTATTGAATTGCGTACTTCAGTTCGGATTTGCTGACTGGTATTTCCAGTGTTATGTGCTTGCAGTGATCAGCTGATAATATTTTATGAGATGGGGAAAAACATCTGTCGGTGTAAAACCTCAGCTTATTAAAAATGTAAGTACAATCTTGGGAGCCATGCGTTACCGCGGGCTATAACCAAGTTAGCGGTTTATTGAAAGGCGCAATAGCGAGGAAACGCTGTACTTGAGATTTGCGTTCCGTATCGTGGGGTATCGATAAATGGGCCCACGTTTATCGTATATCGTATCGTGGGTCAAGTATAGCGATGCATCGGAATATCGGTGTATCGTTTCACCGTTAACTACCACACTTTTCTGTCACAAAAGTCATCTGACAAATTATTACCATGTCGTTCATGCGCACCCGCGAGTTCAACATCTGCACCTGGAACCGTTTTCATTAGCGCCACATCAGTTCATTCCACACCATTCAGTATCTTGTAGATTAGGAATGGAACAAGTGTGCCAAATGACATCCGGATCACTTTTAAGCATTCGTAGAATAAAGTAACAAGACACCTTGCCAACCTGTGCCCATTGTAAGTGTCCGTCACCTGTTGAACCCTTTTCGTTCAGTCCCGTAACATCGTAGGCATGACTAGGAAAATTTGCCTTTAGTTTCACAGTGTGGATGTAGCTCAGTCGATTATCTGTCCGGCTAACGATCCAAAGGTCGCGAGTTCGCGTGCGACGGATTCTCACAAAAACTGGTTGCTTGTCTTTGAGACACGTGACCTACGACAGAGATCGTCCTCACGAGAAGTTGTGGTACTGTATTCTAAAGGTGCTTGCTTTTTCTCAAAAGAATTGTTGGTTCTAAGTGGAGATTAATCCACGAATGACAGGGTAAAAGGATCATAAAACAAAAGCACTGTCGGCTTGAAGTCAGAAATTGGTTCTTGCTATGATGTATCATGTGCATTGATCACTGCTGATTGGGATTTTAGATGTACTGACTAAAACATCTTCCTATATCCCTGTTCTATGTTTATCCCCAAACAGCTGCAGTAACCTTATCTCTGTGCTGGAGCTGCTGGCTGTTCCATAGTGATTTTCTAACAGATCCCTCATCCAAATCTGCTTGCACTTTAAAAGCTTTAGCAAAGTGCATGTGTCATGATCTAATGACAGATGCTACATGATTCACTTTGTAAGACACTTGCCTTCAAATTCAACTACTTATATTTTAGATTGTGCAACACTATATTTACTTATAGAGATTTTCTATCTGCCATTGTGCTTAGCGAGGATGGCCCAAAATATGTACCCTCTTGATGATTCCAGCCCAATAAGTACATAGAAAGTTGC